AATGGCCACCCTTGACTTTTATAAATAAAACTACTGTTACTAGTCATAAATACTGTTACATAAAAACTTTTATTTTTTTCAACTTTTTAATTATTTTGCATTTGGAGCACGTATATTATTTTAAAAACTTCTTTCTATTTTGCGTCATTTCACATACTTTTTTCGTGCTCATTAAAAAATTACAATATGGAAAGGGGCGTTAAAGAAAATAGGATTGCAGTGATCGCCTTGCACGAAGTAGGTTTGGAGCCGTCGATCATATTCCTGACACTTCAAAAGCTTGGTATCAGCCGTATGTTCGTATATCGTACTATCAACAGATACAACAACACTTCGTCTGTCGAAGACCAGAAAAGATCGGGGCGGCCGCGTGCTGTTAGAACTACAAAGGCTATTAATGCAGTTAAAGCCAGAATTCGTCGAAACCCCATTAGGAAGAAAAAAAAGTGAAAAAATGAAGATTCCCGCCAGGACTCTGTCGCGTATTATAAAACAAGACCCGAAGCTCGGTGCTTATCTTCGATGTACATACAGGACATACCCTAAATCAATCTTTATAATTAAAGAGAGTGGATCGATCAAAACGCCGTCTGTCGCGATGCGCAGGTAAAAGGCCCAGAAATATCCTCTTTACTGATGAAAAAAATATTCACGATTGAGGAACACTACAATAAGAAAAATGATAAAGTGTACGCTCACAGTTCTAAAGAAGCTGCTCAAGTGGTGGGAAAGGTACAACGTGGTCATCATCCTGCGTCAATGATGGTTTCGTGGGGCGTGTCTTATTCAGGAGTCACAAAACTACTTTTTTGCAAAAAAAGAGTGAAAACTTCAGCCAAAGTGTATCAAGATATAGTCTCAGATCATGTTGTGAAACCTCTCAGCAATACACTTTTAAAAAATATACCGTGGACCTTCCAGCAGGACTCTGCACCTGGTCACAAGGCACGAACTACCCAAGCCTGGCGAAACCAACGTTCCAGACTTTATAAGAGCTGAAGACTGACCCTCATCTAGTCCAAACCTCAACCCTTTAGACTTGAAATTATGGTTTTAGAGTAATTTAGAGGACATGGCTTGCTCTAAATGACGGCGACACTGGGTATCTTAAAAAATCTTTGGAACAAGCAGTGGCGAAATTTCCCTTGGAAACAGTGCGTAAATCCATAGATTCGTGTCCAAACAGATTAAAGGCCTGCAAAGGTGGCCATTTGGAATAAAATACTTTTTTTTATTTTTTGCTAAGACTTTAATAAATATGTACGTATTGCATTTCGGTAGGCAGCGGCTTGGCTCTGCCCCTGGCATTGCTGAAGTCCATGGGCGACGGTAACCACTCACCATCAGGTGGGCCATATGCTCGTCTGCCTACAAGGGCAATAAAAAATAATAAAAAAGGTATAATTTTTTATAATATTACATTACTTCATTGAAAAAAATAATGCATTTTCATTTGTAACGGAATTAATGGATGGACTAGGTATATGCGAGGTCGCTTTGAGTGCACACAATTGTTTCCAACCCCGCCCATCGTACTGCGTCAACTAGATCGCTATCAACCTTTGGGACCTTGTTTATTGATTGTCACAAGTTGTGGACTACAGCGGAAACTTTAGCAGCAAAAATATTTAGCCTTTTGTTAAACACAAACCAAATGATCGTGTGATGCCTTATCTATACTAATATATAGGTATAAATTTACAGTGGTTTTTACGGATGTTCCATTATAACTACTGAACCATGCATCTGATTGACTTGAAACTTGGTATCCATATAGAAAATACTGCATAGCCTAATATTTATACGAGTGTTGGACTCCCTAATAATAATGACAATAAATAATAATATTAATTTGAAATGCCCAGCGAAGAGGGCGAGTACGGCTAGTTTTTAATAACAGGCGCTTTGAAATCCTCATGAATATATTACCAACTCGAAATTCAGTTACACCACTAAGAGCTACGGCGGTCTATTAGTGAACTAGGTGATTTTATTTGGAATATTAATTTTAGAGTCCGATGTAATAGTTTTTTTTTATAAATTTAGATTACTATTCCATCCGCTTATTGTTTAAAACTTGCATCCTATCGGTAACAATTCAATCACCCCGTGAAAATAGGGTATTAGTCTCAGACAGGGTAGCACTTGGACAAATTGATTAAAATGACAGGAGAAGTCGGACAACCGTTTTCCGACTTGAAGAGTGGGGTAGTCGATGTACTATAGGATTGATACGTATAACTCATATCTCAAGGGGGGTTGGCAGTAGCTATCGATGTCTATGGGCTTCAGTTAACCACTTAATACCAGAAGAACCCTGAGCTCGTTCAACTATCTACGTAAAAAATAAAATACTTACTTGGTTACTCTTGTCATGAATCACACACCTACTGGTTTTATCCAAATAAATAATCTGGGCCAAATTACGGCATACGGTCATATGCCCCAAATCTAGGATTCTCTGTACTGTCCAGAGATTTATGTGTTACATAATATCTACATATAATCTGTGGACGAGTTCACAGCCCACCTGGTGTTAAGTAGTTACTGGAACCCACAGACATCTACAACGTAAATGCGCCACCCACCTTGAGATATGAGTTCTAAGGTCTCAGTATAGTTACAACGGCTGCCCCGCCCTTCAAACGAAACGCATTACTGCTTCACGGTTGAAATAGGCAGGGTGGTGGTACCTACCCGTGCGGACTCACAAGAGGTCCTACCACCAGTAAAGTCCTTAAGCTATGCCGATGTTTCAGAATCTGATATTATTCGCAGATCGTGGTAGATGTTAGAGAGTTCTAAACGTTGCAAATGCATTTACATTAACAGAAATGGGCTCGCTGTAATATTCCTGTGTCTATAATGGAATTCTAGAGTGGTCCTTACCAACTGCACTATTAACAATATTAGTAAATGCTGATTATAGTGGAATGCTTATACGAATTATTAACCCTCAGACGCGGCCCACTGAGTTTCTCGCCGGATCTTCTCAGTTGGTCGCGTTTCCGATCCGGTGGTAGATTCTGCGAAGCACGGCTCTTGCTAGGGTTCGTGTTAGCAACGTCTTCAAGTTTGAGCCCCGTGAGCTCACCTACTAGTTAAGGTTCCGCTGAAATAGCCTCTCAAGGCCATCAGCTTAGGTAGAAAAAAAAACGAATTACGAACCACTAAAGTCCAGCCCTGTGGTTCGACGTAATGCAGAATTTAGAGGTTCGCTTTGATCGTGAAAAGCAAATTTTAATTAACAACGTAACCTGATCATGATTGATACAATTTTCAGTACGAAATATAACGGATAAGTTTTTAGTGCCTTCCACGGGTAGTCGAGTTCACGGCTTACCTGATGCTTAATGGCCACCATATCTCTAGACTTACTGGTGGCGGGGTGTACCGGGAGCCCGTGCAGACAAGTGTCACCAGCCTGCTTATCTTCCAAGCAGCATACGACAACGGATCATCTATATATTAATACGCGAAGGAAAAACTTTGTATCCCTTTTTACGAAAATCGAACCCTTCGTTGCAAGCGACAGGTTCGACGAGAACGATGACCGAGGAGTTACTGGTGGTAGAACCTGTTATGAGTCCGCACGGGTAGGTACCATCACCCTGCCTATTTCTGACGTGAAGCAGAATGAGTTTCGGCTTGAAGGGAATCCGTTGTAACTATACTGAGACCTTAGAACTCTTATCTCGAGATAGCGGCATTTACGTTGTAGATATCTATGGGCTCCAGTAACTACTTAACTCCAGGTGGACCGTGAGCTCGTCCACCGATCTAAGCAATAAAAAAAATCAATTACGTAATTTGTTTTGTACCTAATACACCTTACGAAGGAATGTTTGTTAATTTTGCCAAAAGAAAAACAAATTACATTACCATTCTACTTATATATATCTCTTTGATAGGCTCCGCGCGGAACTCACTTTGTCTCCAATTATTTTTTAATTACATTAAGTCCGTCGCGTACAGAAATTGCGGAGAATTCTGGAAAATTTTAAAATGGTTTCATATTTGATAATTCATGGCCTTTTCATATCCATAACGTTAAAAAGACGGAAGGCGGAACCCCGTGTCTCTGCTATCTTCTCATCTCATGATCACGAAACACGCGGTACGCGAATGCTCAACTCATGCATGTTCACGAATGCTCAACGCTGGCCAGATATTAGCATCGCATTGCTGTGAATGTATTTAGATTTAATCTCTTGAATGTACAATCTACTCAGCAAAATAAAAAACAAATTATAAAGTGCCAATTTTATTACATTACATCAAAGCAATAAACGTTAATATCTCATCCAATTACTAGATTAGTCCGTGAGAAATTCTCACTATTAACTGGGTCGGTATTCAATAGAAATTGCACTTAGAAGCGTTCGGAATTCCACGCAGACTCCTCATCAAATTAAATTTAATTCACCCTTCTCACCAGTCAAGAGTGAGCCAGCTTTAAAAGAAGAGTACTCTTAGTTTTGTTTCGTCCGGACAATATTGACGTACTCCGCGTTTCTATAGGCCATTTCTTTCTTTTAAAATAAAATCTGAAACTAACTAAAAATTACCTTCGAAATGTCGCTCGGGTAGCAATGATTGTACCTATACCAGCAGATTTGCCGTCGGTTTCTCATCGATGAGGAAGATGTGCTTTTGGATTGTAACAATGAACTTCTGGATTGTAAAAACGAACAAACTAGAATATTAATACAACGATTTTAATCCTTTATTATTATGTATTGATACTATTTTACTCGTCAAAATATTAGCAATACAGAATACTTGTCGTAGCAACAATGTTTCAAGCTTTACGGAGTTTGTGTGCTGGTTTGCACTACTAAAATTTATGTAACAAAAATCATAATTAACACCTTTTTCTGTTGATGGCCGAAGCAAATTTTTAAGTTGCATTATTTAGTATGTTTCCCAAACTTTGTACGTTCTGGAATTTTCTAGGCAATAATACATACGATTTATACGATGAGCAATTTTTTTTTCAGCACTTTCATTCTGCTGACGATATTCTCTCAATGCATGACCAACGTGAACATCCCAACTCTGTCCTACAACAGGGACAGTGGTTGCACCGTTGCTTGGTTCCCGCTCTTCAAGCTATTCCCGGTCAGTATCATTGGAAACATAATCAGTAAAAATGCAATCACAAAGGCTTCTGCATAATTCGGATTGTTTTTATCAAATAGTACCTATAAAGAAACTGACTCTGATTGAGAATCTAACTCCGACTTAGTTTTTTTTTCCTACCTAAGCTTATAGCCTTGAGAGGCTATTTCAGCGTAACCTTAGCTAGTAGGTGAGCTCTCGCGGGGCTCAAACCGGAGTGATGCTAACACTGGCCCTAGCAAGAGCAGTGCTTCGCAGAATCTACCACCGGATCGGAAACGCGACCCACTGAGAAGATCCGGCGAGAAATTCAGTGGGCTGTGTCCGACTTCGTAGTGCAATCTTCATGATCTAATCAGATATTAGATATATAGATTTTTATTGCCCTTGTAGGCCGACGAGCATACGGCGCATGGACTTCAGCAATGCTACGGCAGAGTCAAGCCGCTAAAATAACTAATCAATGGCGATCAAAATATCATAATTGTATCTTTGGTGCAGGTTTTACTAACAATAATAATCATGTGGGCAGTCTGTGGCATCTTGACCGTGACCGGAGTATTTCCTCCAGAGCATCCGGCCCGGACCGACCTCAAGGTCAATATCATTGAAGATGCTCCATGGTTCAGGATACCTTATCCAGGTAATCCTAACTTTAGGTTGATTTAGGTGGACAAATGTGGCTATAGCCCTTTAGTATGGAACGCTTTGGTGTACTTCAGTACAAGTTGTGCTGGCTGACATACCTAATCACCTGGTGGTAGTACCTCTTGTGAGTCCGCTCGGGTAGGAACCATCACCCTGCCTATTTCTGCCGTGAAGCAATAATGCGTTTCAGTTTGAAGGGCAGCCGTTGTACTGTTAAAAGTGAGGCCTTAGAACTTATGTCTCGTGGTGGGTGGCGGCATGTACGTTGTCTATGGGCTCCGGTAACCACTGAAAAACCAGGGGGGCCGTAAGTTCGTTCACCCATCTAAGCAATAATAAAAAAAAAACCTCTGAAATAAACAGAATCAGCGTGTAAAAATGAAAATAAAAGTTTCCTCTGAAAAAAACAAAATCAGCGCTATGGTAGAGCGGGGAGCTCTCGACTGACTGCCACCTGTCCCATCTCAGTTCTCTAAATACGGGTTTGATGAATAACCCCTCTTCTAGTTTGTCGGAGACTTCGATCTCGTGACTTGTGTGGCAAGTGATTACCTCACAGTCTTCGCGCTGTTAGGCGGTTACTTGTGTACAATACAGTTCATTGCTCCCTGCCTCGAAGTATTTAGTTCAAGCTTCTAGCAGCCACCTTCTAGGGAGGGGGATATAGTTCCACACAGTAATATGTGCCTTTTGACCACATCCCGAAGTAAGCTGCGCCAACAGTTTTGTTTACACATTTATTCGAATTCAGTTCTTGTTTCGACTGCCCTATTAACAGGTCAATGGGGCGCACCGACGGTAAGTGTGGCCGGCGTACTGGGCATGCTGGCAGGGGTCTTGGCTTGTACAGTGGAGTCTATAAGCTACTACCCTACAACTGCTCGAATGTGCGGTAAGTGTTTTTGAGTTTTCTGTAACGAAGAACTGTAAATGGAAATGATAATTACTACGCCGCCCGCGAACCGTTGAGTAGATTATTTATTTATCTATATATTAATACGTGAAGCAAAAACTTTGTATCCCTTTTTACGAAAATTGCGCGGACGGAGGAGTATGAAATTTTCCACACTTATAGAGAATATAGAGAAGAAGTGCACAATGCATTTATTTTTTAGAATTATGCATAAAAGATACATTAAATCAATAAAGAAAACATTACACACACTACATACCATGTATTTGACACACACATGCATGCATACTATTTATTGTCAAACTTTTGTTCTTAACGTCTGTTGTCAAATTGAGAATAGAATATTGTTTGTCTTTGTTAATATTTTTTATACAATCTTAATAGTGTACAAATTTATAATTCCAATTAGTTATAGTCGAATTTCGACTACTGCGGGACCTCTAGTTTTATTTATTACACTTCATGTAAAATTTACATTGGCGGACTTAATGCCTAAGGCATTCTCTACCAGTCAACCAAAGGTAGTGCAGAGTGAATAGTGGTAGGTGCAATGAATTTTATATTAATTTACAAATACATACACAAAAAAGTGTATACATACATATATAGACAATGTTATATACATATATACACAAATACATACATACATACATATAATAGACTCTTTAATGTATACACTCAAATCAATGCTTGTCATACGTCAGTGTATATCACATCTATATCGGTTCGGTCGTCGCGAATTTGAACAAACAACCCAAAAATGAAAAGTATGTCTAAAAATATATTTAGAGTGACATTACGTCAGTGTTCACCAACACCTAAATTGGTTCAGTCACGACAAAGATGAATAAACAAGGCAAAAATAAAATTTCTGTTTAAAAATACTAGTGGTCCCGCAGTAGTCGAAATTCGATTATAATTAATCAAATCAAATCAAAAAAAATTTATTCAACATAAATGAAAGTACATACTTGTTGAACGTCAAAAGAACTACCGCCAATTCACAAGAACTAGCCTCCGTCCTGAGAAGAATTGGCAAGAAACTCACCGGGCATGTTTTTTTTTTTTTTTAAATTATTATATTATTTTTTTAATATTAGATTTTTTTAAATATTCATTTTTACATGAGTATAATAACATAACAATTATTACAATATTGAAATGCCCGGAGCGAGCAACTCATTCCCACTTTGTGCAATCTTCTAATTGAAATTATAAGTTTGAACATTATTGTGGTTCTACCGTCAAAGACCATTATATTTCTATATTCACAGATTTCGCCAAGACCACACTATAGACAAATAATATTAAGGACAAACAATATTAATCTATTCTCAATTTGACCACAGACTTTAAACAATAACAAAAGTGAACAAAAGTTTGACAATATAAAAAGAGTATTTATATATGTGTTGTGTCAAATGTATTAAATCAACAAAAATAATATTACACACACGCAATATTTTTTTGTTGATTTAATACTTTTTTTATGCATAATTAAAAAAATATTAACATTCTGCACTCGTTCTCTATATTCTCTATAAGTGTGGGATATTTCATACTCCTCCGTCCGTGCAATTTTCGTAAAAACGGGTACAAAGTTTTTGCTTCACTTATTAATATATAGATATTTAGAGTGATATAGCTTAACAAGGGCGGTATTATTGAAGGTGCTCCACCCCCTCCCCTGCACGCCATCAACCGCGGGCTGGGCACCGAGGGGCTGGGCACGGCGCTGGCCGGGCTCTGGGGCTCCGGGAACGGGACCAACACCTTCGGAGAGAATGTCGGCGCCATCGGGGTCACCAAGGTCGGAATCATTTATAGATAGGCGCATGTAACTAGGAGATGTATGGAAATGGTAGTGCAAGATAGAGGGGAAAGAGGTCTACCGAAGAAGACATGAATGGAGTGTGTCGTGGGGTGCAACCTCTTTGACAGGACATAAGACCTACAACGACTAGACATAGACACAGACTAAGACGGACACTTGACAAGAATTAAAAAATAAAGAGAAAAATGGAACGAGGGCGTACGTGACTAACGGCGGACAATACATTTTTTTACTTCCTAAAAGACGTTCACGAAGCCCGCTATAGAAAGCAGAGTATTAAATACACTTGACATTGGCGAAATCTAAAAGGAAACTCCATAAACCTAAGAGATAGAATAGATAGATAGATAGATAGACACAAAGACGACAAGAAACGAACCGACCGTTCAAGTGATCCTTCGACTGTTCAGAGTGTGAGTGACAATATGAGTGAGAGAGGAGTGAGTGTTGAGATGGCTGATAGAAGAGAATGGAGGAGAAAAATATTCTGTGCCGGCCTAACCTATAAGGTGGAGAAAAAGAAGAGGTACATAGAGATAGGTAAGTGAATTCACGGCTTACTTGTAGTTAAATGGTTGCGATAACACATAGTCATTACGAAGAAAATAAACCTCGAGCTGTGTTTCCTTTTTAGGTACGTTATTTAAATCATGGCCCTGAATCTGCGATACTTTAAGACACATATTTTGTTCTGTATGGAGACTATCGACATCTTGTAGCGGATGTCCCTAAATTTAATATGTTGTTAAAGTTAAGGCATTTAATTATTGTATAACGAAACATAAAAAATAATAATAATAAATCATACAAGTCTTTATTTGCTATAGAAAATATGATTAAATTTTATCAATTTCTGGTTTCTGAAAATTTATAAAATCCTTGGATTAAAAATAAAATATAGGATAGGTTAATATGATACTGGCAATTACAGGAGCAATGAGTAACTAATCGAAGCGTAGCCATCTAGTGTCCGACGCCCGTAAACATTTTTGTTGAGTGCCCAAATTGCTTATCTATAACTAATTTATGTGTATTATCTATGCTCTAACCTAAACGGCAGCGCATGAACTAATCACGGCGGGAAACTGTAGAACGATGATAATCCATTCCCTCTACAAAGCACCTCCCTCATCACTATGTATCCCCCTCCCCACGGCGTACCCCCCTCCCTCCCCACAATGTAGCACAGGAACAGGCTGAACATTTTCTAGTGTTAGCGTTGACCCCCGGCGCCCGCAGGTCGGGTCACGGCGCGTGGTGCAATTCGCCGCCGGCCTCATGGTGCTGCAGGGGGTCGTGGGCAAGCTGGGAGCCGTGTTCATCATCATCCCGCAGCCCGTAGTCGGCGGCCTCTTCTGCGTTATGTTCGGAATGATATCGGCCTTCGGTGAGTCTTGTGGAAATGACGAATTTGATTACCCTAGCAAGAGCCGTGCTTCGCAGAATCTACCACCGGATCGGAAACGCGACCCACTGAGAAGATCCGGCGAGAAACTCAGTGGACTGTGTCTGTGTAAAGCGACGGGTTCGACGAGAACGATGACCGGCGCTTGAGGTACCTAAAAGCACCGTTAGTGGATCGGGAGGATCCGAAATGACGTGTTTGGGGCGACGTCGACTGCTTTCCGTTCTGTCCGCAGGATCGGGAATGTAGTTACCGGCGGCCACGATGAGAGGGTTCTCGTGTCGTGCCGCTTTATCGAAGTGGGTACGTCATGTCTCAATGTGGTGACGATGTTTACATTGTGAAGTCTTTCTATAAAATAGGCGATGGGGCTAGGTTTCGAAAAGGATCAAGAGTTCAGAGGTGCCTAAAACCTGTGAATAGTTGACAAAACACGACCTTACCTTTAAGTACTTAATATGTAAAAACGCCTTGTTGTATAGGGAAGCGTTGATGGTACAAGACCGCGCGGGAGGCCACCAATGCGGTGGACCGACCAAATTAAAACTGCAGTGGGAGGTCCCCTAAATGAGTGCAGTAGAATGGCCTGGAGCAGGGAGAGATGGCGCGACATCGTGAGACGCATCAAGTCTGCCCCTTCCAACACTACATGACGATCACGACCACTCTGTCAAGAGTGACACGACTGAGAAGAAGAAATGTAAAAATCAACCTATACTCTAGTTGAAATAAAGCTATGATTAATCGCCTGAATGGTCTTTACTCGAGTTAATTATAGTCATCATAGTCGGTTACTCTTCGCAGAGCAGTCGTGGTCCTGTGGAATCCTTGTTTATTATAGCCTTGACAGCTGCTCTCCATAGTTCTAAAGGCTATCATCATCATCATCATCGTCGGTTACTCTTGGCTTAATCATCTTAATAAATAATAGCCTACCCGCGCGGACTCACGAGAGGTCCTACCCCCCAGTAAATATTGTAAACCGTAAATTTGTTATCAAATATTGATGAATGAGAGGTTCAGTGAACTCGTCCTCGCAGGTCTCTCAGCACTTCAGTACGTGGACCTGAACAGCTCGAGGAACCTGTACATCATAGGGTTCAGCCTGTTCTTCCCGCTGGTCCTGACCCGGTGGATGGCGGCTCACAGCGGCGTCATACACACGGGGCTGGAGGCGCTGGACGCGGTGCTCCAAGTGCTGCTGTCCACCTCCATACTCGTGGGGGGCGCCGTCGGCTGTCTGTTGGACAACGTGATCCCTGGTGAGTCCGCCCACTGGGTGACCGCATTTTTGCTTAATTGGGTGGACGATCTCACAGCCCACCTGGTGTTAAGTGGTTATTGAAGCCCATAGACATCTACACGCCACCCACTTTGAGATATGAGTTCTAAGGTCTCAGTATAGTTACAATGGCTGCCCCGCCCTTCAAACCGAAACGCATTACTGCTTCACGGCAGAAATAGGCTGCGTGGTGGTACCTACCCGCGCAGACTCATAAGAGGTCATACCACCAGTAATAGTAATTGACTTCAATTTCCCATCCGTGTCACTTCGCAGCGGATTATAAGCTATATTGGTCTTCAAGCTTGTGCGCACGCGCGACTGATGATATTATAGGGAAGCCCACGGACATCATCGCCTGACGACCACAGCTCGCACCAAGTCGTCTCAATAGCACGAAGTAAATCCACCTTAAAGTCGGAGCGTATGTTGACTTCGTGACCGGAACAATATAGTGGTAGCTATGTGCCTGAGGCTTATGATATACTTTGTGAGTTTAAGAACGCACCTATTTATGATGCGTAAGCCGGAACGCACGAGAAGTGGAAAAAAGAAGATAGTCTGTGACGCAGAACCTTTTTTTACCGCCGAAAATACATAAGATGAAAAAAATAATCTGTATAGCTTAGAACTGTGTAAGCCGCTGCGACAATAAAGCTCCTATTGTTTCAAATGTGGTGTTAATAACGAATGATCTAATAACACGATTTTCCCGCGAAATAAAGAAGTAACTCTATACGGACTCCCTCAACTTTATATGAAGTACAAACTTGGTATCTGTCCTGCCGTCCTCCCCAGCGTCGCCGCATTCTCGTATCGCTTGTCTTATTCAGTACAGAAGATTGCGGGGAATAGAGACTAGAGTTAGAATAGGGACAAATCTGGGATGTCACAATACTTTGGTTGAGTTGTTACATTTAACTTTGTTGAACTGAAAATGACTTTTATTTAGTGTTTAAAAATATTAAATAGTTTAATTTAGTCATCAAAGTTTTGTAACTCATTAAAGATATTAAAAAGTTAATTACCTGAAGTTAGGTACCTACCTAACAACTAAATAGTGCCCTATCGAAAAAGTCTATTGTCCCCATACGTAACCTGATTCACCCCAAAGCCAAGGTGAATCGAGTCAAGCTAGTTTTTTTCAGTTTTGTGTACATATATTTTGTAATGAACTATTTAATATATAATAACGCAAGGTATATAAAAATTTAAGCCTCCGGAACCAATCTCAATTATATTGGTATTACCCTAAGAAAAGCTATAGAAAATTTGTGTTTTTATATGGAAAGGGTCCCGATTCCCCCTAATCTACGGTATAGGCACTACTCAGACGCTTGTTTTGAGAACTTGAAGAAATCCAGTAATTATTCATCCAGGTACTGATGAAGAGCGAGGGCTGGCGGCCTGGGCTAAGGAGATGTCTTTAGAAGCAGCCGGAGCCTCCGACGATGGAGACACCTATGACTTTCCCATCGGCATGAGCCTGATACGACGGTAAGCTTTTACTGTTTTTGTACTTTTAAAAGTGCACCGTTGAGCTTTACAAGAGCGATGTGAGCACAGGTCAGCGGCCACACGTGAACCTAGGGGTCTGAGATGTTGGACAAGGAACTAATCAAGACATGGAAAAAGGCTATAAGCTAATGGGAAGGCATAGAGACATTTGCTGTCGATCTCTTCCCAACACATTCATTGCTAATTTTTAACTACTTAATTTACATAAACTTTTTTGCACACACGTTTTTTTACATACATATACATAGTAGGTATATATACCTGATTTAAAATAATGAAACTGAAGAATATTTCGTAACAAGTACGTCGAGTTTCTTTGTAATACTTCCGCAAAGCCGGTTGTAGAGCTGTCCCCGACATTCACTATAAGGTTTTCAAATTTAAACTCTGACGTTTTTGTGTCTGATCGCCCAGTCCCCGCCTCTCGTGAATACTGAATGGAAATTTAATTGGTTAGTATTATTGACCCGATTTTGGTCATTGTGACAAAAATTAACTGGTCGTCGAAGTAAATATTTCTAGTAAACCTATAACAGCAACGAAAGGGCAGAACGATCATTACTTATTGACACATTTTTCTTTCAGCTGGAAATGGACTTATTACCTTCCGTTTATGCCAACTTATGAAAAAGGGAAATTCACAGCGTTGTTCATAAAGAAGAAATTGTAAATATTATATGTATAATAAAGAAATGCGAAATAAGTTTGATGTGTATTATTATTAAGTTAAAAAAATATCAACATATGATCGAAAATCGAAAATTCTGGTAATTTTTTTTTTTAATTGTCCTTGTCGGCAGACGAGCATACGGCCCACCTGATGGTAAGTGGTTACCGTCGCCCATGGACTTCAGCAATGCCAGGGGCAGAGCCAAGCCCCTGCCTACCATTACATTTTATTACAATACAAATCAGATGAATATCTATCTGGTACATAACTCACCACGACTGCCTCCGAACTAGACTATTGTTTCGCTGAAAGAACACAGCCCTCATGAGCTGTTACTGGTGGTAGGACCTCTTGTGAGTTCGCACGGGTAGGTACCATCGCCCTGCCTATTTTTGCCGTGCGTTGGGAACAGCGAGTACAGCGGGAACCGAGCCAAACCTACAGACAGACATTCAATATAAGCATCATAAGCGTTTTTGCTGGTTGTAGGACTTCTTCTGAGTCTGCACGGGTAGGTACCAGCCTATTTCTGCCTTGAAGCAGTAATGCGTTTCGGTTTGAAGGGTGGGGCAGCCGTTGTAACTATACTGAAATCTTAGAACTCATATCTCAAGATGGGTGGTGGCATTTACGTAGACGTCCATGGGCTCTGGTAACCACTTAACCACAGATGGGCCGTGAGCTCGTCCACCCATCGAAACCATAAAAAATTCCAACTCAATACCATTTGAGCGCTGAACTACTTCCAACCACAAAAAAGCTACAGAACAATACTCCATTCAGAAGAAATCTATAATGATTATTTTCTCTACAAGAGACTGCTAACCGATAATTAGTGAGCAGAAAAAAAAACGGTAAATAATAGAGTACAACTAGCTGACCCGGCAAACGTTGTGTTGCCTTAAATAAGATTTCTAGGGTAATTCTACTGTAGAAAAAAATCCTCATTTAACAACATAATACCTCATTATAAACAAAAAAAATATATCTAAAAAATTAAAATAAAAAATAAATGTTTGGGGTGGACAACCCCTTTCACTTAGGGGTATGAAAAATAGATAGTAGCCGATNTGTAGAATCTGGGAACCCTGAACACCATCAACTTCGAGGCCCTTGTCGACGTCAGCGGCACGTTAAAGTTCAGAAGAGATAAGAGATCAGGGGCATCGTATTCTCCGTTAACAAGTTTATGCAGGAACAATAGATCGAGAGTGCGTCTCCGCTCCGAAAGAGAGCTCATGTGGAAATACTTTAACCTAGCCGGGTAGCTCTGAATGGTTCTAGCAACATTGCAGGAGAAAGCAAGGTGCCACGAATAGTTTTTTTATAAATTTAGATTACTATTCCATCCGCTTATTGTTCAAAACTTGCATCCTATCGGTAACAATTCAATCACCCCGTGAAAATAGGGTATTAGTCTCAGACAGGGTTGCACTTGGACAAATTGATTAAAATGACAGGAGAAGTCGGACAACCGTTGTCCGACTTGAAGAGTGGGGTAGTCGATGTACTATAGGATTGATACGTATAACTCATATCTCAATGGGGGTTGGCAGTAGTTATCGATGTCTATGGGCTTCAGTTAACCACTTAATACCAGATGAACTCTGGGCTCGTTCAACTATCTACTTAAAAAATAAAATACTTACTTGGTTACTCTTGTCATGAATCACACACCTACTGGTTTTATCCAAATAAATAATCTGGGCCAAATTACGGTATACGGTCATATGCCCCAAATCTAGAATTCTCTGTACTAAAATATCCAGAGATTTATGTGTTACATAATATCTACATATAATCTGTGGACCAGTTCACAGCCCACCTGGTCGTAAGTGGTTACTGGAACCCACAGACATCTACAACGTAAATGCGCCACCCACCTTGAGATATAAGATCTAAGGTCTCAGTATAATTACAACGGCTGCCCCGCCCTTCAAACCGAAACGCATTACTGCTTCACGGTTGAAATAGGCAGGGTGGTGGTACCTACCCGTGCGGACTCACAAGAGGTCCTACCACCAGTAAAGTCCTTAGGCTATGCCGATGTTTCAGAATCTGATATTATTCGCAGATCGTGGTAGATGTTAGAGAGTTCTAACCGTTGCAAATGCATTTACATTAACAGAAATGGGCTCGCTGTAATATTCCTGTGTCTATAATGGAATTCTAGAGTGGTCCTTATCAACTGCACTATTAACAATATTAGTAAATGGTGATTAAAGTGGAATGCTTATACGAATTATTAACCCTCAGACACAGCCCACTGAGTTTCTCGCCGGATCTTCTCAGTGGGTCGCGATTCCGATCCGGTGATAGATTCTGCGAAGCACGGCTCTTGCTAGGGTTCGTGTTAGCATCGTCGTCAAGTTTGAGCCCCGTGAGCTCACCTACTAGTTAAGGTTCCGCTGAAATAGCCTCTCAAGGCTATCAGCTTAGGTAGGAAAAAAAAAAACTCGAATTACGAACCCCTAAAGTCCAGCCCTGTGGTTCGACGTAATGCAGAATTTAGAGGTTCGCTTTGATCGTGAAAAGCAAATTTTAATTAACAACGTAACCTGATCATGATCGATACAATTTTCAGTACAAAATATAACGGATGAGTTTTTAGTGCCTTCCACGGGTAGTCGAGTTCACGGCTTACCTGATGCTTAATGGCCACCATATCTCTAGACTTACTGGTGGCGGGGTGTACCGGGAGCCCGTGCAGACAAGTGTCACCAGCCTGCTTATCTTCCAAGCAGCATACGACAACGGATCATCTATATATTAATATGCGAAGGAAAAACTTTGTATCCCTTTTTACGAAAATCGAACCCTTCGTTGCAAGCGACAGGTTCGACGAGAACGATGACCGAGGAGTTACTGGTGGTAGAACCTGTTATGAATCCGCACGGGTAGGTACCATCACCCTGCCTATTTCTGACGTGAAGCAGAATGAGTTTCGGCTTGAAGGGAAGCCGTTGTAACTATACTGAGACCTTAGAACTCTTATCTCGAGATAGCGGCATTTACGTTGTAGATATCTATGGGCTCCAGTAACTACTTAACACCAGGTGGGCCGTGAGCTCGTCCACCGATCTAAGCAATAAAAAAAATCAATTACGTAATATGTTTTGTACCTAATACACCTTATGAAGGAATGTTTGTTAATTTCGCCAAAAGAAAAACAAATTACATTACCATTCTACTTTTATATCTCTTTGATAGGCTCCGCGCGGAACTCACTTTGTCTCCAATTATTTTTTAATTACATTAAGTACGTCGCGTACAGAAATTACGGAGAATTCTGGAAAATTTTAAAAAGGTTTCATATTTGATAATTCATGGCGTTTTCATATCCACAACGTTAAAAAGACGGAAGGCGGAACCCCTTGTCTCTGCCATCTTCTCATCTCATGATCACGAAACATGCGGTACGCGAATGCTCAACTCATGCGTGTTCACGAATGCTCAACGCTGGCCAGATATTAGCATCGCATTGCTGTGAATGTATTTAGATTTAATCTCTTGAATGTACAATCTACTCAGCAAAATAAAAAACAAATTATAAAGTGCCAATTTTATTACATTACATCAAAGCAATAAACGTTAATATCTTATCCAATTACTAGATTAGTCCGTGAGAAATTCTCACTATTAACTGGGTCGGTATTCAATAGAAATTGCACTTAGAAGCGTTCGGAATTCCACGCAGACTCCTCATCAAATTAAATTTAATTCACCCTTCTCACCAGTCAAGAGTGAGCCAGCTTTAAAAGAAGAGTACTCTTAGTTTTGTTTCGTCCGGACAATATTGACGTACTCCGCGTTTCTATAGGCCATTTCTTTCTTTTAAAATTAAATCTGAAACTAACTAAAAATTACCTTCGAAATGTCGCTCGGGTAGCAATGATTGTACCTATACCAGCAGATTTGCCGTCGGTTTCTCATCGATGAAGAAGATGCGCTTTTAAATTGTAACCACGAACTTTTGAATTGTAAAAACGAACAAACTAGAATATTAATACAACGATTTTAATCCTTATTATTATGTACTGATACTATTTTACTCGTCAAAATGCAGAATTAGCAATACAGAATACTTGTCGTAGCAACAATGTTTCAAGCTTTACGGAGTTTGTGTGCTGGTTTGCATTACTAAATTTTTTGTAACAAAAATCATAATTAACACCTTTTTCTGTTGATGACCGAAGCAAATTTTTAAGTTGCATTATTTAGTATGTTTCCCAAACTTTGTACGTTCTGGAATTTTCTAGGCAATAATACATACGATTTATACGATGAGCAATTTTTTTTTCAGCACTTTCATTCTGCTGACGATATTCTCTCAATGCATGACCAACGTGAACGTCCCAACTCTCTCCTACAACAGGGACAGTGGTTGCACCGTTGCTTGGTTCCCGCTCTTCAAGCTATTCCCGGTCAGTATCACTGGAAACATGGCTAGTAAAAAAGCAAAGGCTTCTGCATAATTCGGATTGCCTTTATTAAATAGTATCTACAAAATGCCATATTAACGCTATTTATGTAAGATACAGTCAGTTATCGTCTCTTCCCTTGGAGAGCGGTAGATTGACAGTTGCGAGAAATAGAGTAATAAGATCATTCGGGCTGGAGGCACAGACTAGAGAGAAACGTTTCTTTATAACTTAGCAGATCGCTAAATCGGCTCGCCTTTGGCTCTCAATCCGGAGGCTGTCGGAAGCACGCTGCTTGTTTTCTTTTCTTCCTACCGAGGCCTTGAGAGGCTACTTCAGCGTCACCTTAGCTAGTAGGTGAGCTCACTGGGCTCAAACCGGAGTGATGCTAACACTAGCCCTAGCAAGAACAGTGCTTCGCTGAATCTACCACCGGATCGGCAACGCGACCCACTGAGACGATCCGGCGAGAAACTCAGAGGGCTGTGTCCGACTTCGTAGTGCAATCTTCATGATCTAATCAGATTTTTTTTTTATTGCTCTTGTAGGCAGACGAGCTTACGGCCCACCTGATGCTGAGTGGTTACCGTCACCCATGGACTTCAGCAATGCTAGAGGCAGAGCCAAGCCGCTAATAATAACTTATCAATGGCGATCAAAATATCATAATTGTATCTTTGGTGCAGGTTTTACTAACAATAATAATCATGTGGGCAGTCTGTGGCATCTTGACCGTGACCGGAGTGTTTCCTCCAGAGCATCCGGCACGGACCGACCTCAAGGTCAATATCATTGAAGACGCTCCATGGTTCAGGATACCTTATCCAGGTAACTTCAGGTTTATTTAGGTGGACAAATGGGGCTATAGACCTTCAGTATGAAACGTTTTTTGTACTTCGGTACAAGCTGTGTTGGCTGACATACCTAATCACCTGGTGATAGGATGTCTTGTGAGTCCGCACGGGTAGGTACTACCGCCCCGCCTATTTCTGCCATGAAGCAGTTATGCGTTTCGGTCTGAAGGGTGGGGCAGCCGTTGTGACTATACTTGAGACCTTAGAACTTATATCTTAAGCTGGGTGGCGACTTTTACGTTGTAGATGTCTATGGACTCCAGCAACCACATAACACCAGGTGGGCTATGAGCTCGTCCACACACCTAAGCAAAAAATAAATAAAAATATTCGCGGTGTTAGGCGGTTACTTGTGTACAATACAGTTGCATTGCTTCCTGCCTCGAAGTATGGAGTTCAATTTTATAGCAGCCACCTTCTAGGGAGGGGGATATAGCTCCACACAGTAAGATGTGCCTTTTGACCAAACCCGAAGTAAACTGCGCCAACACATTTATTCGAATTCGGTTCTTGGTTTTGACCGCGATATTGACAGGTCAATGGGGCGCCCCGACGGTAAGCGTGGCCGGCGTACTGGGCATGCTGGCAGGGGTCTTGGCTTGTACAGTGGAGTCTATAAGCTACTATCCTACAACTGCTCGAATGTGCGGTAAGTGTTTTTGAGTTTTCTGTAACGAAGAGCTGTAAATGGAAATGTTAATTACTACGCCGCCCGCGAACCGTTGAGTAGATAATTTATTTATTTTATTTTTTATTTATTTATATTACACTTCATGTAAAATTTACATTGGCGGACTTAACGCCTAAGGCATTCTCTACCAGTCAACCAAAGGTAGTACAGAGTAAATAGTGGTAGAGGTGCAATGAAATTTATATTAATTTACAAATACATACACAAAAAAAAGTGTATACATACATATATACACACAATCTTACATACATACATACATAAATATAATAGACTTTTTAATGTATACACTCATAATATAATACACTCTTTAATGTTAATCAATGCTTGTCATACGTCAGTGTATATCACACCTATATTGGTTCGGTCGTCGCGAATATGAACATACAACGCAAAAATGAAAAGTATGTCTAAAAATATATTTAGAGTGACATTACGTCAGTGTTCACCAACACCTAAATTGGTTCAGTCACGACAAAGATGAATAAACAAGGCAAAAATAAAATGCCAGTTAACATTGTTTATTTGTCTATAGTCTTAGCGAAATGTTATTATAGAAGTATAATAATATAATCCATCCATACGATCCGACGACCGACATTGCTCGCAAGTCAGCGGCGCGGGCATGGTGTGCGTCCCACAACACTTGTTTCTACATCGTTAGCTCAACGCTTCTATGGCATATACGAGCAAACAGAGAACTTACTCCAGACTGTGAAGTAATCTGCTTTTTGTTTTCGAGCCCAATTAAGCAAATAATTATTTATACCTATGTAATAGTAATAATAAACACGCATAGATGCAGATACTCACACATACACAATACAACATGCATGCGCGCACACGCCCACATATACACACACTCACACACAAACACACACACACACACACACACACACGCACGCACGCACGCACGCACGCACGCACGCACACGTAAAATGACCTTCTTAAAATATAACACCTAATGATCTCTCAACACTGGTCCGCAGCATTTGTTCACGACTTAACCTAACCTAATCTATCTTAAGAAGGAGGGAGCCTGGAGATCAGTAATACAGGTCTTTGAACCTAGTACAGACTTCAGCTCTTTCAAAGGCTTACAAAATAAATTATAAGGTTAATTTATTTCCATTTGAATTTGTACTATACCTTTAAGAGAGAAATAAATAAATAATTATTATATAATATAATAATAATTTATAATAATTTCACGATTGAACCACAATAATTTTTCAAACTTATGATTTCAGTTAAATAAAGTCGAATTTCGACTACTGGGGGCCACTAGTTTTCGTAAAAAGGGGTAAAAATTTTGCTTCACGTATTAATCACTACATAGTATAAAACAAAGTCGCTTTCTCTGTCCCTATGTATGCTTAAATCTTTAAAACTACGCATCGGATTTTGATGCGGTTTTTTTTAATAGATAGAGTGATTGAAGAGGAGGGTTCATATGTATAATAACGTCCATTAAATAGTGGAGAAATCAATAATAAATTACAGTTTCAGAAGCGAAGCGAGGGCGGGTCGCGTGATATAGCTTAACGCGATATAGCTTAGAGTGATAATAATATAGCTTAACAAGGGCGGTATTATTGAAGGTGCTCCACCCCCTCCCCTGCACGCCATCAACCGCGGGCTGGGCACCGAGGGGCTGGGCACGGCGCTGGCCGGGCTCTGGGGCTCCGGGAACGGGACCAACACCTTCGGGGAGAATGTCGGCGCCATAGGGGTCACCAAGGTCGGAATTATTTATAGATAGGCGCATGTGACTAGGAGATGTATGGAAATATGAAAATGGTAGTGCAAGATAGAGGGGGAAGAGGTCTACCGAAGAAGACATGAATGCAGTGTGTCGTGGCGTGCAACCTTTTTGCCAGGATATAAAACCTACAACGACTAGACATAGACACAGACTAAGACAGACACTTGACAAGAATTCAAAGATAAAGATAGAAATGGAACGAGGGCGTACGTGACTAACGGCTGGCAATACATTTTTTGACTTCCTAAAAGACGGACACAAAGACGACAAGAAACGAACCGACCGTTCAAGTGATTCTTGGACCGTTCAGAGTGTGAGTGACGATATGAGAGAGAGAGGAGTGAGTGTTGAGATGGCTGATAGAAGAGAATGGAGGAGAAAAATTAGCTGCGTCGACCCCACTTAGTGGAATAAGGTGGAGAAAAAGAAGAGGTACATAGAGATAGGTAAGCGAGCTCACAGCTCACTTGTAGTTAAATGGTCGTGATAACACATAGCCATTGCAAAGAGAATACACCTCGAACTGTGTTTCCGTTTTAGTTACGTTATGTAAACTAGGGCCCTGAAACTGCGATACTTTAACACAATTATTTTTTTTGTATGGAGACTATCGACATCTTGTAGCGGATGCCCCTAAATTTATATGTTGTTAAAGTTAAGGCATTTAATTATTATATAACTAAACATAAAAAATAATAATAATAAATCATACAAGTCTTTATTTGCTACAGAAAATTTGATTAAATTTTATCAATTTTTGGTTTCTGAAAATTTACAAAATCCTTCGATTATAAATAAAATATAGGATAGGTTAATATGCTACTGCCATTTACAGGAGCATTGAGTAACTAATCGAAGCGTAGCCATCTAGTGTCCGACACCCGTAAACATTTTTGTTGAGTGCCCGAATTGCTTATCTATAACTAATTTATGTGTATTATCTATTATATGCTCTAATCTAAACGGCAGCGTATGAACTAATCACGGCCGGAAACTGTAGAACGATGATACTCCATTCTCTCTACAAAGCACCTCCCTCATCACAATGTGTCCCCCTCCCCACGGTGTACCCCCCTGCCTCCCCACAATGTAGCACAGGAACAGGCTGAACATTTTCTAGTGTCAGCGTTGACCCCCGCGTTGACCTCCGGCGCCCGCAGGTCGGGTCACGGCGCGTGGTGCAATTCGCCGCCGGCCTCATGGTGCTGCAGGGGGTCGTGGGCAAGCTGGGAGCCGTGTTCATCATCATCCCGCAGCCCGTAGTCGGCGGCCTCTTCTGCGTTATGTTCGGAATGATATCGGCCTTCGGTGAGTCTTGTGGAAATGACGAATTTGATTACCTTTTTAATCTGACGTTTTTTGTTTTTTTTCCTGCCTATGCTGATAGCCTTGACAAGCTATTTCAGCTTCACCCTAACGTGTGTAGGTGAGCTCACGGGGCTCTAACTGGAGTGATGCTAACACTGACCCTAGCAAGAGCCGTGCTTCGCAGAATCTACCACCGGATCGGAAACGCGACCCACTGAGAAGATCCGGCGAGAAACTCAGTGGGCTGTGTCTGTCGGTTAATTTACTCGTAGAGCCCTTCATCGCAAGCGACGGGTTCGACGAGAACGGTGACCGGTGCTTGAAGTGCCTAAAAGCACCGTTAGTGGATCGGGAGGATCCGAAATGACGTGTTTTGGGCGACGTCGACCGCTTTCCATTCTGTCCGCAGGATCGGGAATGTAGTTACCGGCGGCCACGATGAGAGGGTTCTCGTGTCGTGCCGCTTTATCGAAGTGGGTACGTCATGTCTCAATGTGGTGACGATGTTCACATTGTGAAGTCTTTCTATAAAGTAGGCGATGGGGCTAGGTTCCGAAAAGGATCAAAAGTTCATAGGTGTCTAAAACCTGTGATAGTTGACAAAACATGACCTTACCTTTAAGTACTTAATATGTAAAAACGCCTCGTTGTACAGGGAAGCGTTGATGGTACAAGACCGCGCGGGAGGCCACCAATGCGGTGGACCGACTAAATTAAAACTGCAGTGGGAGGTCCCCTAAATGAGTGCAGTAGAATGGCCTGGAGCAGGGAGAGATGGCGCGACATCGTGAGACGCATCAAGTCTGCCCCTTCCAACACTACATGACGATCACGACCACTCTGTCAAGAGTGACACGACTGAGAAGAAGAAATGTAAAAATCAACCTATACTCTAGTTGAAATAAAGCTATGATTAATCGCCTGAATGGTCTTTGCTCGAGTTAATTATAGTCATCATAGTCGGTTACTCTTCGCAGAGCAGTCGTGGTCCTGTGGAATCCTTGTTTATTATAGCCTTGACAGCTGCTCCATAGTTCTAAAAGCTATCATCATCATCATCATCGTCGGTTACTCTTGGCTTAATCATTTTAATAAATAATAGCTTACCCGCGCGGACTCACGAGAGGTCCTACCACCCAGTAAATATTGTAAACAGTAAATTTGTTATCAAATATTAAGGAATGAGAGGTTCAATGAACTCGTCCTCGCAGGTCTCTCAGCACTTCAGTATGTGGACCTGAACAGCTCGAGGAACCTGTACATCATAGGGTTCAGCCTGTTCTTCCCGCTGGTCCTGACCCGGTGGATGGCGGCTCACAGCGGCGTCATACACACGGGGCTGGAGGCGCTGGACGCGGTGCTCCAAGTGCTGCTGTCCACCTCCATACTCGTGGGGGGCGCCGTCGGCTGTCTGTTGGACAACGTGATCCCTGGTGAGTCCGCCCACTGGGTGACCGCATTTTTGCTTAGTTGGGTGGACGACCTCACAGCCCACCTGCTGTTAAGTGGTTAATGAAGTTAGGTACCTACCTAACAACTAAATAGTGCCAGCCCTATCGAAAAAGTCTATTGTCCCCATACGTAACCTGATTCACCCCAAAGCCAAGGTGAATCGAGTCAAGCTAGTTTTTTTCAGTTTTTGGATACATATATTTTGTAATGAACTATTTAATATATAATAACGCATCGTATATAAAAATTTAAGCCTCCGGAACCAATCTCAATTATATTGGTATTACCCTAAGAAAAGCTATAGAAAATTTGCGTTTTTATTTGGAAAGGGTCCCGATTCCCCCTAATCTACGGTATAGGCACTACTCAGATGCTTGTTTTGAGAACTTGAAGAAATCAAGTAATTATTCATCCAGGTACTGATGAAGAGCGAGGGCTAGCGGCCTGGGCTAAGGAGATGTCTTTAGAAGCAGCTGGAGCCTCCGACGATGGAGACACCTATGACTTTCCCATCGGCATGAGTCTCATACGACGGTAAGCTTTTAGTGTTCTCGCGCTTTTAAAATTACACCATTGAGCTTTACAAGAGCGATGTGAGCGTAGGTCGGCGGCCACACGTGAACCTACGGGTCTGAGATGTTGGTCAAAGAACTAATCAAGACATGTAATAACGCTATATGCTTTCTGGAAGACAGAGACATTTGCTGTCGATCTCTTCCCAACATTCATTGCTAATTTTTAACTACTTAATTTACATAAACTTTTTTGCACACACGTTTTTTTACATACATATGCATAGTAGGTATATATGCCTGATTTAAAATAATGAAACTGAAGAATATTTCTTAACAAGTCCGTCGTGTTTCTTTATAATACTTCCGCAAAGCCGGTTGTAGAGCTGACCCCGACATTCACTTTAAGGTTTTCAAATTTAAACTCTGACGTTTTTGTATCTGATCGCCCAGTCCCCGCCTCTCGTGAATACTGAATGGAAATTTAATTGGTTAGTATTATTGACCCGATTTTGGTCATTGTGACAAAAATTAACTGGTCGTCGAAGTAAATATTTCTAGTAAACCTATAACAGCAACGAAAGGGCAGAACGATCATAGCTTATTGACACATTTTTCTTTCAGCTGGAAATGGACTTATTACCTTCCGTTTATGCCAACTTATGAAAAAGGGAAATTCACAGCGTTGTTCGTAAAGAAGAAATTGTAAATATTATATGTATAATAAAGAAATGCGAAACGAGTTCGATGTGTATTACTAAATTAATAAAATACCAAAATATGATCGAAAATAGTGGTTGAATTTATTACAATATAAATCAGATGAATATTTATCTGGTCCACAACTCACCACGACTAACTCCGAACTGGACTCTATTGTTTCGCTGTAAGAATAAAGTCCTCATGAGCTTTTACGGGTGATAGGACGTCTTGTGAGTCCGCACGGGTAGGTACCGCCACCCTGTCTATTTCTGTCGTGAAGCAGTAATGCGTTTCGGTTTAAAGGGTGGGGTAGCCGTTGTAACTATACTGAGACCTTAGAACTTATATCTCGAGGTGGGCGCATTTACGTTGTAGATGTCTATGGGCTCCAGTAACCACTTAACACCAGGTGGGCTGTGAGCTCGTCCATCCATCTAAGCAATAAAATAAAAAACCACTCAATACTATTTGAGCGCGGAACTACTTCCAACCACAAAAAAACCACAGATAGCACTTCATTTGGAAGAAATCAACAATGATTATTTTCTCTATAAGAGACTGCTAGTGAACAGAAAGAACCTTTCGGTAAAAAATAGAGTACAACAAGACTTTATCGCTTCAATACATTTCCGGAACTAACGAAATCTTCATTCAAAGAACAATTTCTAAGATGAATACTTTATCTACTATCTCAGGATGGTAAATTATTCTGTCCCTTCACACTTATTGCAGGGGCGGACGAAATTTCATCCCTGATACAGTCTTATCAGAGAAGGCCATTCTGTGTTTTGACAAATGAATGGTCGTGACCCAATTTCGTTTTTACTACCGCAAATAGACAGGAGCTCAGAACGTTTCTGGTCCTGAATCGGTGCCGGATTCTATAGACATTACAAGGTGAAAGTCACCACCTGCCTTGAGACGAGGTCTCAATTGAAGACATTAGTGGATGAAGGGGCTTAGTACGATTTTTAAGATTTTTACATTAAATGAAGGTGTTATGTGCCTATAAACCGTGTGAGATCTTAAAACTCTAAACGTTAAAACTCGCAGCACACTGTACAGTTCATTTTTTGGCCCCTGAGCTGTAAACAATGATCTAAAACGGTAAGTTTGTGAGTACTAACGTCTTTTATTCCATACGTGGCATGTTGATAATAGTGTATATATCTTCAAGAAATCAAATTAGTAAATCAACTGGTCCCTGTATTTCAGAATTGGCATCCATTTTACCTGAAGATGTCCGATGAATAATTCATTAAAATTTCTTGGTAACACCAACCTTATACTTACAGTCTACGTCTTTGAGCAAAAGAGCGATTTTCAATGGCTTTATTACTTAAGCAATCATTTTCAAGAAATGAAACATTACAGAACGCAAAGAAATAATCCTTTGTTTGATGTTTCCTTACAAATTCATTGCACTTTCATTCCGACTTTAAATAAAAAAAATCCAGGAATTTTCATTAAGGTCGTCTTTTTTCCAAATTAAGGCCAATAACTGTCACATTCCAATCCAACATTTTATCTTTCTCCTTCACGGATGCGTTTGATGAATACCGTTTACTTTAAATATTTATGAGTTTCGTCTTGCTTCGTTTATTTTGTTTCCGAGGTACAGGATCAGCGTCGTAAACGCTATAATGGTTTCAGTAATCAACGAGGGTTGCTGAAACAACAGTTTGAATCGCGTTCGGTGAACAATTCCTTTGTCCGGCGCTGAAAGAATTGCAAGCTTCATCAAGTGTTGTTCATGCACCAAGGAGCGTTCGGGCACAAATTCACAAATGTTTAGTGGTCGGCGCACGCATAATAACCTGTTGTATAGAGGGGAGTATCGACCGCACGGGCGGCGGGCCGGGCGAGGCAGTCTCGGACCGCTCTCCGTCCGCGTCGGTAGTGTCGCTGTCCAGTGTCCGCTAGTGCGCCGCGCTCGGTGCCGCTCAGTGCTCCCAGTGCTCATAATGCAGCCGGCACCCGCTCGGCTCCAGTGAATCCTCAATAACAGGTGATTATAACAACTGCTGTCCTCAGGTTGTCAACATACAAGCCTCGTTCGCGTTCGAAAGCCGTGCGCGAGCGTTGCAATGCTTTTAACGATTTGTTTGGATTATCGATCTAGCATTTCAATTTTTTGTTTTGAAGTTGTAACGAACTTCTCAAGCGATGAGTTATACGTCGAGATGATTCAAGCGATAATCATCCTAAAACGTTCAAACGTGTAAACCAAACTTAGCGTATGTTCGTAAAATACGGACACCGATAAAGGGGATTTCAATCGGCGCGGAAGTTATTTCGGGATTGTTCGATGATTTCCAATAGTTTTTCTGGAATAGTTAACGTCCGTATTGTGGTTTGGGTTTTATGCGCAATTCTGTTTCACATCGTTTCGGATAAACTGACAACAAACAAACGATCACGCAGAGTAGGTGGTAATTCTAACAAAAAATATTTTGGATGATACTGTTTGAGAAATTTTATACTTGAATCTTTGCTCATTTCATTACGATTTGGGAAAGAAAATTTATGCGTCTTAGCCCTTCGGTCGCGCACTAAATGCAGCCACAATCTGACGAAAGGAAATGTAAATTAGAGAAAACGCCCGATTTCCCTTGACACGGTAATACGGATATTTGACATTTTCTTGTAAAACATTTAAGTCCTTCCAATAAAACATGAGTTTATTGTCGTAACTGAACGCGTAAAGTTTAATGAGCTTCAGGATAAAGGAGGGCGATGTATTTTAAGACCGTTTTTGCGTAACACCTTGGTTTCCTAACCGCTCGTAATTGGGCGTTACGGTAACAATGCTTTGGATTCTACAATAAATATATCAGTACTAAAGAATTGTGACCTAATTTAAAAAATGGAATTTTTATGCTAAAGGTTTTCATTCTATTTTAAAATGGTTATTTATAAGATGACTTATCAAAGATACATTACCGTTCTTCAACATACTGTTCAGACTTCGATTTCATGTTTTTGGGCTTCGATTACTCCGTAAAATCAAACGGATCTTAAGCTGGTCGGCCCATCTCAGCTAATAAAAAGCGAATATTAATTTTAACCGCAGACAACGAACACAATAAAACTTCGTCCATACCGTTGGCTACGTAAATACGTCACTGACAGAGTGCTAACACTCGAGAATGCACTTCAGATTATCTGAATACATTAGTAAGTGCCCAGCTTCAGACCTATGAGAGGCGCGGCTACTTAAAAGCCAGGCAGCACTCAAAGACCAAGTATCGTTTGATTTTCACTTGAGGATATTAGAACAGCACTTGACAATTTGCGACATGTTTCTTGAATTAGGCTTCAGATCCTGCTTCAGGTGTAAAGTCTTTATTAAAATAAATGCGTATCTGAAACGTGCTCGCGTAGATTAACAATACCTAGTTAAAATTGGCAAAATTTACTAAAGCTTTTTGTGGAGAAATTGTTTTTTTTTTTTACGTAAGCTGATAGCCTTGAGAGGCTATATCTGCGGAACCTTAACTAGTAGGTGAGCTCACGGGGCTTAAACCTGACGAAGTTGCTAACACGAACCCTAGCAAGAGCCGTGCTTCGCAGAATCTACCACCGGATCGGAAACGCGACCAACTGAGAAGATTCGGCGAGAAACTCAGTGGGCTGTGTCTGAGGGTTAATTTACTGAGAACGGTGACCGGTGCTTGAAGTACCTAAAAGCACCGTTAGTGGATCGGGAGGATCCGAAATGACGTGTCTGGGGCGACGTCGACTGCTTTCCATTCTGTCCGCAGGATCGGGAATGTAATTACCGGCGGCCACGATGAGAGGGTTCTCGTGTCGTGCCGCTTTATCGAAGTGGGGAGAAATGGATTAATGTACTTAACCAATGTTCAGGAGTGACTTCCATGATGAAGGATATCGTGTAATGATAATCAAACGGTCAAACGGTAGTCGTTGGTATTACTGAAGTCGTCGTGGCCTAAAAGATAAGACGCCCGGTGCATTCGTATCTAGCGATGCACCGGTGTTCGAATCCCGCTGGCAGATACCAATTTTTCTAATGAAATACTTACCTAACAAATGTTCACGTGAATTTTCAGGTGAAGGAATAACATCGTGTAATAAAAATCAAACCCGCAAAATTATAATTTGCGTAAATACTGGTGGTAGGACCTCTTGTGAGCCCGATCAGGTAGGTACCACCACCCTGCCCATTTCTGCCGTAAAGCAATAATGCGTCTCGGTTTGTAGAGTGGGCCAGCCGTGTACTGTAAATCGAATACTTATAGAACTCATACCTCGAGGTGCGTGGCGGTATTTACGTTGTAGATGTCTTAAGATGCCATCTCATGTCATCTCAGCAACAATAAAATGTGGTTGTGGAATCCAATTTGGGTCGCGAAGAATTCAATAGTCCCGATTTGAATATGATATGCTATGATAACTTTATTAATTTGCATATTATTCGTAGTACGCGATATGGAGAATACGAAGTGAATAATATGTTAGAAGAAGTCTGAAAGTGGCACCTGTGACAAAGAAGTTGAGAAGTACGCATTTGGGATGGTATGGCCATGTGATGAGACGAAATGAATATGAGGTTGGTAAGAGAGTGCTAACTATGAATGTGGAAGGATATAGAGGAAGAGGTGTAGACCTAAGAAGAAATGGATGGATTGCGTGAAAGATGATACGTGAAAGTAAGAGTATGGAAGGAAAAAACATGTTGCGCCGACCCCAGGTGACTGGGAGAAGGGCAGGAAAATTATGTTGTTTATTCGTAGTAGAGGCTGTATTGTGTCTATTGGGTGTAATGTACTGTGGGCTCGTCCGAGTGGGGAACACATAGTGATTTGTCCTGGTAAAACTGGAAAAGTCTCCGGGCCACCAGTAATCCCTCAATCATAAAAAAATGAATACATAGTGCTGTCGCGAAACAGGTTTGAAGGATGGGACGGCGGTTAGAATATACAATGGAGACTTTGAACCCATAACTCGAGGTGGTGGCATTCACGCCGTGATACCTCTGGGCGGTGGTAACCACCGCATACCGGCTTATATCGCATTTCTCCGATATTTGCCAGTAGTAGATGAATTTTACTGCTTAAATACGCGTTTCTTATTCCTTCATATCGTTTATGCTCCAACATATTTGATTGCACATACCTACTAAAAATTATGACGGTATGGCAATTGTAATTTCAACTTAACATTTGAGGCTTAGTCCGCTGATAACACCGGCCACTTGACACTTCACGAATATTGAATCAAACATGCCATTGATGTGTCAATAATCCCGCTTTTAACGTTGCTATCAGACAATGGTGCTTGTGATTTGATTTATTGATAGCACCGAGATAAACTCGCGGCTTAGCTGTATTAGTGTAGTATGTGGGAGGGAGAGTAGCCGATGGAAACTGTCGCAGGGAAAGCTTTGAGCTTTGATTTTGTTACCACAATACTGCGTAGTTCTGCGGCATTGTTAGCTTACTGTTCTGAATGGGACAGCTGTTTATCACAAATTCGTAGCTCTGTATTTTTTTTTATAACGATAAATATCGAAAGGGGGGTAAGTGCTTGCGAAATGTTAGCTAACTAAAAAAATAAATTCAACTTCTTATACGTTTTCCCTTAATTAAGTTTTGTACCTATGTGTATGTAACTTTAAGTTAATTTTTCCTCGGTATATAATAAAGGTATCAAAAAGAAAAAAGGGATATACATATATTTAAGTATATTAAAAGCAACTATTATTACCAATCTCAAAAATATTTTTGATTCTTTTATTGGCAGGACCACGGAATCTTTCAACGTAGTAGCTACAAAAAGGCTGACTAATATGTTAATTTGCAAACGCATTATGAAATAATTATCTGGATTACTACGATTTAAAAAAAACGGTTGTAGTAATTATTATTTTTTGTATTCTTTGGTTTTAGCCAGTCGTAGACATAATGATAGCTGGTTTCACGATTTAATGTCGCGTTATTGTCATTGTATTCAGTAATAGTAAGTAGTTGGAACGTATAATGATCACAAAACGCGAATATTAAACCGAATATTAAAGTAGTTTTTTAATTGTAAATTGTTTAATGTTTAATAATTTAATGTTAAATTATATGTAGTACCATCATAAAAACTGTTCATTATACAACCGAGATTATTCTTTATGCCATAACTAGCGACCCGCCCTCGCTTCGCTTCGGAAACTGTAATTTATTATTGATTTCTCCATTATTTAATGGATGTTATTATACATATCGACGCTTGAAAGGCAAACGTGGCTAAGCGACAATGCGTGAACTTTACAGTGGACTAATATAAAGTTGAAATACCTGAAAAAAAATCTATTTTAACGAATCTAGCTGTAGGATTGAAATGAGTTTAATAGACCTAGAAATATATATTTTGTGCGCATCGAATATGGTTATTGCCTATCATTTATGTATAAAACAGTTATTGTCGCTTAGTCACGTTTGCCTTTCAAGCGTCGATATAAACCTTCCTCGTCAATCACTCTATCTATTAAAAAAAACCGCATCAAAATCCGTTGCGTAGTTTTAAAGATTTAAGCATACATAGGGATATAGGGACAGAGAAAGCGACTTTGTTTTATACTATGTAGTGAAGTTCGCCCGCCATTGTATTTAAGTTAAATTTCATTTATGCAATAAACAGTTTTCTGTGTCTTACTTTTTAATAAAAGACATAAGACTAAATACGTCACTAGGATGAATCGATTCAATAATTAAGGAGATTGAAGTACACAAACATAAAGATCGATTAATATTTCTTCAAAATGTTCTAGATAGCCATTCCCAAATCGCAAACAAATCCCGAAGGGCAATAAAGTTACATTTATTTGTCCTCCGTCTCTATCACTCCTTTTGTACATTACGTTGCCGTCTCTTTCTTTTTGGGACATTTCCGCTGTCGTCCATTTTGTATAATTTAAGGGTGTTTAAGGAAATCCTTGGTTCTATTGATCACTTGTTAAATTATACGGTTTAAAAAAACATTGATGTCGCACAGTTT